CTTTTTCCTAAGGCTGCCGGACTTAGGTGATTGTTCACTCTGTCCGTGATCTCATGGCCATTTTCATTTTGTGGATATCAAATTAGTAGTCATACGACCAGCACGCGCGAGGACCAAGAAACTGGTCAGCGTATGAAGGGATGAGAGTGGTTCGGTGTACATGGAGGATAAAACGCACGTGCACAACTGGAGAGATCAATCTGCGGCAACTAATAGTGGCTGAAACAAGAAAAACCAATAAATCAAGTAATATTGCATATTTAAATAGTAAATGAGCTTGATAAGTTATTTACACCCCAATCACAACATATTGTAATTAGATGGATATTTCTTGCGTATTACATTCATAGATGAAATATAATACCCACATTGGCAGCTGGACCCGAGTATGTGTATGCACACTATAGGTGATGTGTCTTAAACATATTAATAGCCCATGTTCAAAAGAAATATGAATAAGAGGCCAAAAGCAATGGAATTCCATCCGTTTTTTCAGTGTCGGAGGGGAATGGAAGCGTATTACTTTTTACAAAGCTGCTAGATGTAGGTGACTGTTTGCTTGTTCCTCGATCTGTTCGACATGTTCAGTTCGTCGATATGAACTTATATGTCATACGACATTTAGACAAAAAATGGCTCAGAGTATGTGGGGATAAGGATGGTTCAATGCACACGGAGGATAATGCGCACAGACACAACTAAAGAGGTAATTTGTGACAATTAGTAATGGGCAAAACAAAAAGACGAGTTGCTAAATCCAGTGATACCACCCATAAACATAGCAAAAGTGCTTAATAAGTCATTTGCATGCAACATATTGCAATCACAGGGATATCATTGTGAGTTGTTTTTTTCGAAAAACTTTCAACCTATTCATTTTGAATCATTGGCAGCACAACGAACATCAGAAACAATAAAAATTGTACCCAGATCCATAGACCACCCAGCGACCATTACAAACACTGAAGCGAGCCGAAGGCGCGTCGTCATTATCGCCCCTCCATCATCGGAGCCAGGCAATACCTGTTGTAATAATAACCAGGAAGATGAAGAATAATACCTGCATTGGCCGCTGGATCCGAGTGTTTGTATGCACACTACTACACAACAAGTGTCTTACACAGAGCGATCCATATACACAAAATCAGCACGCAAAAAAATTGTCATCTTTAATCCCAACCGTTTAATTTGTTGTGGCAAAACTCCTCAACCCCCACTCAACCCAGCTGGCAATCAGAGTCCTTTAACTGAATCAAGATTTTCAAATCAAAACATGACAAATAACAACAACAAAAAACTTGATAAAAAAAAAAAAGCTCTAGCCCGTGTGCACGAGCGGTGTAGCC